GGGATGGAGAAAGGGAAGAGAAGGGACAGTGGTACGACCATTCCCAATGGAAAAGGTGCATTTTTCTCTCTTCCTCTTTCTGTCTCTCTGGCAAGTGCACAAACTCTCTCGGGAAAATTTTAAAAAATAATTATCATAATCTAGGAAATGTGTCAGTATCATTACTATATCTAAATTACAAAAAAAAAAAAAAATTAAGGTCTTTTTTTTTTTTTTTTTTTTTTGCCATAAGGAATGTATGCTTGCCAGAGACAGAGACAGTGAGGGGGAAAGTAAGAAATCACTACCCAGTGGGGATGGCCATGCCACAATCCCTTCTGCTCCATTTCCCTGGGATTCTAGGCACACATGCACACATGCCTGAAGTGATTTTCAAATTTCCAGGTCCAGGACTCAAACCATGGTTGACCATGTGAGAGGCCAGAGCCTTAACTACCACACTACCTTCTGGCCTCCTATACCTGGATTTACTTATGATAAGCCTTCCACTACCAATTTGGCTCTGTCCATGGTATTTACTTATACTCCCTTTTTTACTCACTCAACATCTCTGTTTACAGTCAGGACACACACTACCTGTAGTCAACGCCCTTCTGTCCTCATCTAGTGCATCTTCTGTTTTCCAACTTGGCCTCGTGTCTCCAGGTCCTCATACTAGTTACCTAAGCTCTTACGCTTCTTACAGATCTGATCACAGTAGAATTTCAGACACTGTGGTGGATGGTGAAGCTAATCAATATTAAGGCAAAAAGCTGGCCTAAAAGTCTCCCAAATCACAAAACAGAGCCCTCTACCTGTAAAGCTGAATCTTCTAAAGGATTCACTTAAAGTTTTCTGGGATTGGAAGGGAAAAAAAAAAAAAAAAAAAAAAAAAAACACCAGACTGCACGTTACTTTTACAATGAGAAAAGAATCAGAAAATAGGGAACCAGCAGTTAGCGTAATGGCTATGTCGCTGGACTCCCACGTAGTCGACCGCGGTTCGTGTCCCGGACCCGGTGGCTTAAAACTCACGCCAGGCGCGTGTGCGTGCGTGCCCAAGATCCCGAGAGGAGAATAGAGAAGGGATTGCGGCGTGACCATCCCCCCTGGGGGGTGATTTCTCGCTTTCTGTCTCTATGTCTCTCTCTGTCTGTCTGGCGAGCGCACACACCCTACAGTGAAAATCTCTCAAAAAAAAAAAGAATCAGAAAATACTGCTGGCAAAGACTCCCTCGTTCTTTGTCCCCTCCCTACAAATAAAGGGAAAAAAATCGTAAAGGCACATAAAACCTTACTCATGGAAAGAATGGGGCCTGTAACAAAGAAAAAGGACTCCAACTTGAGCACATTTCTAAAACCATTCTACTCTCCTCATCTCAAGGAACTGAGTGGCCAAGTCTAGGCTTTGGCCCACAAATCTGGGCCAAGAGTGTATGCTCTTACTGACCGTGTTCTCCAGTCTTGCCCAGTATCTGAGGGACAGAGAATACTAAAGTCTCCTCCTACTTTAGCTACTGGTTCACATACAGAAACTCAGACTATTAGATATATTTGAATTGGTGTGTACAAATAAATATTTCATTGTTGCCCAACTGGTAACATCTTACCTGCATTATCTCAAGGAATCCTCACCATGACTCTGAAATACATTACTATTAACAGTCACATTGTATAGTCAAGATCGAGGCTCAGAAGGTCAAATGCTGTGCCCAAGATCACAGTTTTAGAAGTGGCAGAACTGTGGTTCATACTCTGGAAAATCTGAATCCCTAAACTATACTAAGGTCCAGGAAAGTCAGGTAACCTGTTCATGAATTCATACCATAATTCAAGTCTACTGAACCCATATACTTCCAAGGAAAAGTACAGTGTGAAGAACCATAGTATACAGCATCTATACGCCACACTAACAGCACATAAACCTGGGTTTGAACTCTCCACTTATCAGTTATATCTCCTTGGACAAAATTACTATACCTTTTTTAGTCATAGTATTATTATCTGAAACATGGAAACAGTGACAAAGTTATAAAGTAGCTGTAAGGATCTAGAATAAATTAACATGAAAAGCAGCCAACAAAGAGGGTAGTATATAACAGGTGGTCAGTAAATGCTAGTTCCTTTACATCTGCCTTCCTTTCTAGATCTTTCCAAAGTTAATGATACTACATGATTTATGTGTGACTCAAGGAAATAATAAAGTTCTATTTGGTCAAGCAATAGCTTAAGTATTCCCAAGAACAGATAGACTACTTTAGAACACCTAGGTCTTGCACCCAGAAATAAAGATATATAAATTCAAGAAATCTCTAGCTCTAAAACAGAACTCTTAAGCTCTACATTCTCCAGTGTTAAAAGAATTATCAAATTTCCATACAAAAATTTTTATTTCCAAGTTAAATTCTACATAAATTATCCATAAATCAAAGCTGGATTATGAAAGGACTATTCACATTTGGAAACATCTAAAGAATTCATCGATATTTTGAAAGAACTGTGATAAAATATTCTGATAACTCAGGTGCAGAAAAACAGTGGAAAGACAGAGTGAGTTGGCTGGAACAATACATAAGTTGGAACCTTTTGCTGTCTTCTCGTCTTTATAGAATAACGGAGGAGAAATTATCTTCAGATCAGCGCTATTCCTCCACATGAAGGAATACTGGCTATTATTGCTAATGTCAGTCTAGACTCAAAAAAAAAAAATCAAAAACCTAACAGCTATTTTTCCTTTTTATAAAAAATAAAAGTTTGTTGTTTGTTATAGGGTGTGTGCACTGGTCAAGACAGACAGAGAGATGGGGCAGTCGGGGAGAAATGAGAGATCACCTCCCTGCCGGGGGGATGACCATGCCGCAATCCCTTCTGCTTCATTCTACTCTCAGGATTTGGGGCAGGCACATGAGCACACATGCACACACACTCCAAGCATGATTCTCTCGGAAGATCCTGGACTCAAACCACAGCCAGCCATATGTGGGATCTAATACCTTAACCACCAACACGCCACCTGTTCCCCTGTTGGCCCGGTGAAGCTATTTTCAATACTGCCATTGCCACCAATTCTCCAGTCTGTCTGACTGCTCCCTGAGTGCAGAACTATTTCTCACTGCTTTCCTACAGCACCTAGCTTGGCTGTTTGCTTAAAGCATGTGTCCAGCAAATGATTCCGGAATTGAAATTCAATGTTTGCTTCAAACATTCTCTTTCAGAGCTCTTTTATCTGCCCAAAAGTGTCTTTAAAAACAAAAACAAAACTCCCAGAATCCAAAGTAGGAAAAAAACATTTTGTGGGACCAACAGCTGGCATAATGGCTGTTGCTAGACTCCCACGTAGTCGATTGCAGTTCGAGTCCCAGACTCAGCAGCTTAAACTCACACCAGGGGCATGTGCGTGTGTGCCCAAGATCCCTAGAGGAGAAGAGATTGCGGCGTAGCCATCCCCCCTGGGGAGTGATTTCTCACTTTCTGTCTCTCTGTCTGTCTCTGTCTTTTTGGTGAGCACATGCACTCTATAGCAAAAAAAACCCTCAAAAAACAAAAGAAAACAAAAAACATTGTTTTTTATAAGCTACCACCAGAGTAATCCTAAAATTATTTTCTATCAACTCCAAATAAAACAACCATGACATCCAGAGAAGGCATCATATTGTTCTTTTTTAAAAAATCTGCTTAAAAAGAAAAAAAAGTGCTAGAAAGCACATATGCTTGCCATAGACAGAAAGAGGGAAAATGAGAAAGCACCCTCCCTCAGAGGGGCTGGCCACATCACAATCCCTTCTTTTCCATTCTCTTCTTGAAATTCTGGACCCACATGCACACGTGTCTAGCATGAGCACGATGTCATTCTTAGAATACCTCTAAGCTTTAGTTTCATAGGAGTTAACCCACTGCAAAACGCCGATACTTTTAGATCTGAAAGAGATCATCAACGGCACACAACACAGAGGTGATGAGTAATGATATTGTCACGTAAGCTAATCCCAGTTAATTTCTATGGCAGAGGCTTGTACAAAGGACTGGAGAACAAGAAGGGAGCAGCCACCTGTGCCCAGACAAACGAGAGAGGATGTCAGGATGAGCAGGCATTACTGGAGAATGAGTGAACCACATGGTGAAAGGAGGAGGACATCGAGGGCACAGGAAGGGCAGATACAAAGCTCAGGGTGCCCACAGAGCATTTAGAGGGGAAACAGTGGGTAACACAGTTCAGCCCAAGTAACGGCATATAAGGGAATGCCAGAAGAATATGGAAAAGTAGGTGAGTTGAGATTAGCAAGGGTCTTTAATACTATTAGTATGTGGACTTGATCCTCCAGGCATCACCGCATGTTTGCAGGCAGATCAGACCTGCAGCTTAGAAACATATTTTCCCACTAATATTAAACCACAACCAACCAGAAGACAAATAACCTAATAACACATATCTTACTCTGTAAAGAAAAAAAAAAGTAACATAAACACTTATGAAAAAGACTTGGTAAATACACACACACACACACACACACACACACACACACACACCTTTCTGAGGATATCCTGAGTTCAGTAAAGACCCAAATCAATTTTAAGCAGCAGGCTGACAATCATTAAGAATGTGGTCCAAAATGACATCTGTCTTTAATGAAACCAAGCTCTAAAAGGTTAAGGGGCTTATCCAAGATCCTATAGTAGTTAATGGCAGAGCTAGGACAAAATCTTAAGTCTACAGTTCTTCCTTCCTAGTTTACCACAACTCTAAATAGTGTTGCTGTCCTAGGAAAGTCTCTGAAAGACAGAAGAGAGCAAAGGAGAATACAGAGCAAAAGTTAGGGTGTGAGAAGATGAAGGGCATGAGAACTAGAACCAGGCTTACACACTGCAAGCGCTACATAAATTCTCACCATCATTCATGATCATCTCTCTCTGAAGAATCATAAAATCGCTGGTGGTTCACAGCAACCCCCACTGCAGCTTTTCATATTTGATTCGAAAGTAGGCAAAGACCAAGAGCTGTAAACATGTGGTGATGTTTCTACCTTTGGGGGGAGGGCTCTTGGAGTCCTCCATAGACAGCTTCAGCTGCTGTATGAACTCGCCGCCATACACACTTCTTTCTTGCCAGATGTTCAGCAATCTTTCTAAAGGTTTTTTACAGCCTTCATCTGCCTCTCTGCCCAGAAAAGATGAAAAGATATATATAAGCTTAAGATTTTTTGTTTTCAATTAGGACAGATCTACTTTTTAAAAAAAAAGAAAAGCAATAGCTGACTAAATAATTCACATATTTAAAACAGAATGAAGAGTAAGCTACATATTGTGACATTTGGATACTCAAAACTTGACCAGAAACTACATGCTTCTTGTAGTGGGTGGAAAAGAGAAAGAGATCCTGTTACTACACTTAACCTATTGTTTTTCTCTTTTGAAAGATGAGGCAAATAGGGCAAAAAGCTAATGGCTGATTATCAAAAACTGATCTTATCAATTAATAATAGCTTCCTTCATAAGAACATACTAATTGAAATGTTTTGCCAAACATCCTGCTGGAAAATAAAGTAGGCCAAAACTTTTAAGAATAAAAATAAAATTGATTAAGAGCCAATTTCATGGCCTAGTGGTTGAGAGAGCTGGAGCCTACATGGCCTATTGCAGTTCGTATTCCAGCCCTGGAAGCTTGAAAAGAACACCAGGCACATGTGCATGCATGCCCCAAATCCTGGCAGGATAGACCAATGAAGGAGAAGGGATTGGGGCATGGCCATGCCCTCATTGAAGGGTGTTTTTCCTCTCTCCTTCTGTTTATTTCCAGCAAATGCACGTACCCTCTAGTAATTTAAAAACAAACAAAACTGATTAAAACACACAAATGTTTAAAATGGTATATAAATTTAGTATAATTCATCAATGCTAATACACCTCTACATGTATAACCACAATTGTACACACATGTATGCCAAGACTGATTTCAACTCTACTTCTAGACTAAGTCTGTAATCCATGTTCATACAAAGGTGTCTAACTGATAATCTTAGAACACATTGAGAGTAATGCAGTCCTTCATAATTTAGATCTGGAAGAAAAAGTTAGGTCATTTTCCCTGACATACTGCATTCTTGAGATAGAGTATGAGAGGACTCTGACTAACAACTCGGTGTATACCAGTTGGCTACCATAAAATGTCAGGCAGCAAGCAGAGGAGAAGGGGAGACTTTCTGAAAGGAGAATATATAATAAATCCACTCACTATCTATCCACTGTGTTACTATGTGCATTTTTCTGTGTGAGGCTACTGGATGTCAATGATGTTATACTAAATAACATTAATGAAAAAAATGATACCTAGCAATCTTCCTAAGTCAAATATCTTTAACAGAAACTTCAAGGAAAAAAATAAATACCAAATTCAACTGAGATGGGAAGTCTATTCACTCCCAACTCCGATAGCACTTCTGTAAAGTTTATGTTAACACTCAAGGCAAGGTGAGGTTTCAGTCCAGCCTGGTCATATTGTATTACTTTTGAATTATTTGTGGCAAATTTCACGGAATTGGGGTCAAAGGGCTAAATCAGGGTATATCCCAATTAATTATTTTTTATATTAAACTTTATTTTTCACATCAAAGGCAAAGACCAGGGAAAATGTTTTTACTGCTCAGTTTATAAGGCTAAGTGACATGACCTTATTTGATATGTATAATAAAAATTGACTCTACCTTTAAAATATACCGAAGAGATGAGTATATTTTATACTCAGCTCTTCCTCTGCTTCCTAGCTGGTCCAGGCCACCATCATCTCTTGCTGCATTTACTACAACAGCCTCATAACTGAGCTGCTCATTTCTACCCTTGTCCTCCTACGATCTATTCTCAAGTTTTCAAAAGAAATTCTAGCTTTTGTGTTAAGGCAGATCATGTCACTCCTTTGCTCAAAACTTCTCAAGTTTCTTCCCATTCTCCCTCAGAATGAAGGTGAAAAGTCTTCATAAAGCCTTAAAGGTCATTTTCAGCCTAGCCCACTGTTTATCTGAGCCCCTCTCCTACCCATCCCCACTCCCAACAGCTACCTTGGCCTCTGCCTCAGGGCCTTAGCACTTAATGGTTTTGCCTGGAACCTCAGTGCCCCAGATGGTCACACAGCTCAAACCCCTCCTCCTCCAAGCACAGGAACTCATGTCCACATGCCAAAGTCATGTGTTCTCCACACAACTTATCTTCTAATATGCTATAGTTTACATGCTGTTTACAGTCTTTCCATCTGAATGTAATTTCCACAAGGGTAGGGATTTGTCTCTTCCCCTCACTGCTATATACCCTAAAATGAACACAGTATCTGTCGAATTGTAGTCTTTAAAAAAAAAATTATATAGGTTTCAGTACATCAGTTACTTAACTTTCAACAACCATCTTACTGCATCAAGGTCATTCATGTCAGAAACCAACTGAACACTCAACCATTCAATCAATGAAAGTTTATGGACTACTGTGCTTGGAATACGAAGATTAAGACAGAGGTCCCGATCTAGGAGAACCTCAGACATCCTTGGCCCTATCTCCTTTCCATACTGTAAGTGAGGCTTCACATTCTAGCAACACTTGACCACATGTATTTTCTGCTCAGAACTTGCTCCCTCTTGTATCCATGCTATCTCCTCTCCTTTAAATGGAACCTCCAAATAGAACAAGGCAATGAGAAAAGAGAAGTAGTAATTCAGGTAGCTTAAGTATACAGTGTGTGTGTAGAAATTACAGAAGAATTTAGAAGGATAGAATGGAATTAGATTATAAAGGGCCCTGAATGCCATATTAAGCATGTGGCCTGCAGGCAAGAGTAAGTCCCTTATGTGATCAAATGTATGGTTTAGACAAAGTCATTATAACTAACATAACCAAATTGTAACTAATTGGAACTTAATTAACTAATTAACTGGTACTTCTAACATAAAATCTGTTCTCTACAGATTTTGTTCACTTAAAGAGAAACCAATCCTGAGAACAAATTCATATTGAGAATTCACTTAAAGTGGGGGAAGGGTCTGTCCACATGTCTACCCACTATCCGCCATTCCTGGGGATATTTGGTACTCAAGGCTAAGACTGGTTTCGAGTACAGTTTTTAGCCACATCCTGTAATATTACTATAAAGTGGAAACTGATGCTCAAACCTATTATAACCACATAACATTTTCAAAAGGCTTTCACCACTAAAGCCAAAAAGGGGGAACTCATTAGTAAATGAAATTAACGAAGGTAGGTTATTTCCTTGAGCACTGTTATAAATCAAAGTTTTGCTATGTAAGTTTCAAAATTATAGATAAAATATTCAAGAAATCTTTTTTTCTGATAAGATTTTGAGGTTAGTAGCTCCAGTGAACTGGAAGTCAGTTTAGTTAGCACTTGAAATCAGATACAACTAAAGCAATAAAGCAATTCTGTAACAGAAGAATCTATCTTTTCAGGATGCACTAAATCTATCTAAGTTAAAAATTCCTTAAGACAGGGGCAGCAGATGGCATGGTCATTAAGGGCACTGAACTCCCACATGGCCGACCACAGTTTGAGTCCCGGACCTGGTGCTGGCTAGCTTGCTTTCTCTCTTTCTCTCTGTTCCTCTCTGGTTATTCAAATTAAAATAAAATAAAATAAAATAAACAAAGATAAAATGAAATCTTTAAAAAAAAAAAGAATTCCTTAAGAGAAAAAAAGATTCAAAAATCTTTGCCACCAATCTGGAGGATAATGAATTAATTACATACATAACCTAGAATTATGTTGAACACACCCAGTAGGTATTTTAACTCTGATTATTTTCTGATTATACAAATCAAAGCACTGCTGACTTTTCTAATTTAGATGGCAAAATTGTCCTTAAAAGTGAAAATGGGGCCAACCTGTGAGTAGTAAAGGTGGCTGAATCCCCCATGGCCATCTGGATGATTTGAGTTCTGAAATCGACACCTTGAGAAATACACCAGATGTGTACACATGTATGCCCAAAAAGGAGGGAGAAATGGAGAAAGGATTCTGGCATGACAATTCCCCATAGAGAAGGGATAATTTTTCAGTTTGCCCTTCTCTGTTTCTTTCTCAGAAATACTCATGTGAAAAATGCCCTGTAGCCTAGCAGTTAAGGGAGCCAGATGCCACAGGGCTAGCTATAGTTCAAATCCTGGCCCTGGCAACTTGAAAAACACGCTAGATGCATGTGTGTGCACTCCCAAAACCCCAACAGGATTTCTGAGTCCTAGTTGATGTCACCTCTAGCCTGTACTATAGCAACATCCTTCAAACTCGTGTCCCTGCCCCTTCCTTGGCCTTTACAATCCATTCTCAACACCAAACTATGCTTTAAAAGAGATCTTTTGGCCTGGTTTCGAGGCCTGGTGGTTAAGGCAGCTGGTTCCCACATGGCTGACAACACAGTTCAAGCCTTGAACCCAGCAGCTTGAGAAACACACTGGGAATGTGTGCGTACATGCCCAAAATTCTGAAAGGAGGGGAAGACGGAGGACATTGTGGCATTGTGGCATGACCATTCCCCATGAGGAGTGCTTCCTCCTCTCCCTCTCTCTCTGGTGAGTACACATACCCTCTGGTTAAAAAAAAAAAAAAAAAAAAAGAGGAATCTTTTAAAAATGTATGCTAGAATACATCCTTCCCTTGGGACCAGCAGATGGCATAATGGTTACATTGCTGGACTCCTACATAGTCGACTGTGGTTCGAGTCCCAGACCAGGCAGCTTAAAATTCACACCAGGCATATGTGTGTGCATGCCAAAAATCCCAAGAGAACAAAGGAGAAAGGATTGTGCTGTGGCCATCCCCCCGGGGGTGACTTCTTGGTTTCAATTTTTCTGTCTCTCCAATAAGCACATGCACATGCCCTATAGCAAAAATCTCTCTTAAACAAAAGAAGATACAACCTCCCTCTGTTTAAACTATTTTTAAAATAATTATTTTTAATGTTATTTATAATAATAATTATTATACTTTAATTTGCTACAGAGCACATGTGCTCACCAGAATGAGAGAAAGTAAAAAAGCAATCTGCCATTCTGGGACTTGAACTGCGATCACTCATGTGGGAGTCCAGCACCTCAACCACCATGCCACCTGCTGCCCCCCAACACCCTTACCCTGCTTAAACTCTTCATGGACATCCCACTGGAATGATATCGTTAACTCACAAGCCTAACAGGGCCTATGTGACTGGCCCCTGTTTACCCCTCTGATTTCATCTGGACGCCACTTTTCCCTTTGCTCACTATCTTCTGACCATATTGGCCTTCATTCTGTTTCTCTTAACCTGCCAAGATTATGTCTACCTTAAGTTCTTAATAGCTATTCCTACTTTGCATGATTACCTCAAATGTCATTTCCTTAGAGACGTCTTCCTTAACAGCATTGACTACAAGAGATCCCACTCCAGAATATAACAGCTCTAATGAGACAGGTGGCGTCATCCCCTTTTAACCCATTAGGAAATTTGGGCTCAAAAAGTTAAGTAACACATTTGAGTCGCTCAGACAGGGTTTGAAGCAGAACTGCAGCCAATGTCTAAGAAACTGTAAACTAAATCTCACATAAACAGAAAATCTGTCTACAATTCTAGACAGTTACTCAACTAATCTGTTCTAAGCTTACTTTCTGTTTTGAGGATTCATTATTTTTTTCAAGTTAGTAACACATTCTGCTACTTCAGTGTCCATGTTCCTGTGAAAGAGCCAGCAAAGTAGCTGATAAAAACTTTTTTTCTACTGCTAGAAAGCTAGATGTTATGTTTTTCTTTGGAATTCTAAGTTTATTCTTTTAACCTTTGAATCCACCAAGAAATAACAGACTTAACTTCATACTTAAGGTCTTTCACTTACATTTTAGACTCTTAGATTTTTGTTTAACCAACTAGTATCCTTTTCCCTCTTCCCAATTTCCTTTTCCAAAGATCTATTTACTTTTATATGTTTACTTATAAACACAATAGTTTACTGAAAGATGTTTTTTTTCTTTTTTCCTCCAGGGGATCTAATTTGTGCCTACAGAAAGATTCTGTTTCTAAAGAAAAATGATTTATAAAACTTTTAACCCAATACATGCTTTCTCTGATATTGGTAATATGCATGCTCTGTGCTCCAGTCTTCTCTGACACAAAACAATAGCAGCAGACTTACTGTGACACTGCCAAGGCAAATAACTACTTTCCGTGCTAATAATTGCTATTTTTGTAGTTATGGTAATGATTACTATTTTTAGTAAACTAGACATTTAGAAGTTCAGAAGGAAGTATAAAAGAAGGCATGAGCAACTAATTTCTTGCTACTGAGGTTATGTTACTAAAAGGTTCCTTTATACTAAATTATTTAGCTTTGGTTTTGATCATAAGCTAATGAGACAACTCAACCAAACCAAGGAAAATACCATATTCAAGAAGTGAAGTCAATAAATAAATACATCCAGGGAAAAGATGTGTTTTAAATGCCAGACCGAATATACGTATCAAAATGTTTATACGTCTGAAACAGTTCCCAAGGGTCCAGCCAAACATAATACCCCAAGTCTATCTGTTAATCTACAAAGGCTATCACAGAAAAGAAAAAAAAAACTGAAAGTGGAAAAGGTAATACATTAAAAACAAAGCAAAACAAGAAATAGATGACATACCTGGCTACATGAGAAAAAGCATCCACAAGGACAGATTCAAATTCTCTAGTGAATTCAGGTCCTTTCCTTTTACTGTTCTGGATGACATCATTCGCTAAGTATAGAAAAGTAAGCTTTCTGTTTGATTTGGCTGAAAAATAAAAAAGAAAAGATGATATTTTAACTTACACTGAAGAAATTCTTAATTCACATTTTTTTTGCTCTGTGCTACTCCGAAAGAACATTAAGACAAATATTATCTACCTAAGGTTAAATACACATTTTTTAAAATAAAAAAAAAAAGTTTAATTAGAAAAACAACTTAAGTAACTTTTAGAAGTCTCTGACATAACAGGTTTGGCCATTAAATTTCAAGGGGAAAAAAAACAATGTTAATGGTCATCTCCCTGTAATCTTAACCAGGATAACTGACAATGAAAGTAGACAATCTCAAGAAAATTCCTAAAGGACAACAGTTAATAACAAGGTTAAAACTAAGACTTTCATTTATTCTATTTAAAAGATGAGTATTTCTGGGACCAGCAGTTAGCGTAACGGTTATGTCGCTGGAATCCCATGTAGTCGACCACGGTTCAAGTCCTGTACCTGGTGGCTTAAAACTCATGCAGGGCACGTGTGCGTGCGTGCCCAAGATCCCAAGAGAAGAATGGAGGAGAAGGGATTGCGGCGTTGCCACCCCCCGAGGGGGTGATTTCTCACTTTCTGTCTGTCTCTATCTGTCTGGCGAGCACATGCACCCTACAGCAAAAAACCTCTCAAAGAAAAATAAAGATGAATATTTCTAACTCATTCTTAACTATCAAATATTCTAGAAAACTGAGTTAAGTTTCAGTTTTAAAATAGATTCTTGTAATTTATGCTCTTAAACTAAGAATTTCTTTTTCTTTTTGACACTCAAATAACCACAATTAGTCAATGATATCAACTCCACAATCAAGAGGAAATCTCTATATGTGCCAATGGATACTTACCTCAAATACAAATACACATTAACATTCGACATTATTGAAAATTTACACGTCTGAAATCTGGATATGCAAAGTTATGGCTCCCAGAAAAACCGTAATTCTTCTCTCATATATACAAAATGTACTATATCCTATTACTCTATCTGGCGTCATATATTTAACCATAAAAATCTCATGCAATATGTCTGAGTTACAGTTGCTTGGGGGAACATTACAGAATTTCCTGGCTTCTCTGCACATAACTTCTCAACAGTAAAGTTATATCACTACCATTTTTGGTCCCAGTTTTCTTTTTAAAGAAATAAATAAGAAAATAATTAGGTATTTCAAAACATGAACATTTTTCCAACGCTGAAGTACCTGAAAAGCTCAAGCAAGCTGGATGTCAACCTTTGCACACCTGAATAACTTGCTCTACTCCTCCCAGAAACCACTTCTCCATTGCTTTTGAAATGCACACAGCATGTATGAGGTCAGACACAGCAGGCATAAAATATGACATTTTAAAAAGTAGCTACAGGAGAATAACCCAACTTAAAAACGAGATTTTTAAAGCACATTACAGTTTAATCTGATGTCTTAAAAATGCTCATAAAATTAAATATAGATATTGTGAATTGTATTAACCTTCTGGAAATATCCTATTTAGATGACCAACACATGAGAATATTGGAAACCTGGAGTTATCTTTAACTGTTCTAATTATTATTCAAAAGCAGAACAAAAGTGTCAATAATTACAATATCCTACTGTTGCTACAAGGGTATGATTATGACAATTTTTATTTTTTAAGCAACCCTGTTCTGGAAATATGCAGTAGGTAATAAAACTACTAAGTCTGTAAAGCCATGAAACTTAGCAGATTTAAAAGTAAAACAAAACTTCAAGGGACCAGTAGTTAGCGTAATGGCTATGTCGCTGGACTCCCATGTGGTCAACCACGGTTCAAGTCCTGGACCCAGTGGCTTAAATTCACGCTGGGTGGGTGTGCGTGCGTGCCCAAGATACCGAGAGGAGAATGGAGGAGAAGGGATTGCGGCGTGACCATCCCCCCTGGGGAGGTGATTTCTCGATTTCTGTCTCTCTGTCTGGTGAGCGCACATGCCCTATAGCAAAAACCTCTCCCAAAAAAAGTAAAACAAAACTTCAATAAAGGGACCAGCAGTTAGCATAATGGCTATGTTGCTGGACTCCCATGTAGTCGACCGCGGTTCCCATCCCAGACCCAGTGGCTTAAACTCACACCGGGTGCGTGTGTGTGTGCGTGCCCATCCCCCCTGGGGGATGATTTCTCACTTTCTGTCTCTCTGTCTCTCTCTGTCTGGCTGGTGAGTACACGCGCCCTATAGCAAAAACCTCTCCAAAAAAACCACTTCAATAAAGAAAACATTACTACTTAAGTAGAGTCTACAAATGCCATATACTTTAAAAAACCGTAGAATCTATATTGTAAAATGTAATTGTAGACATCCAAGACTACATTTTTCAGTTATTACAAATTTGACAGCTAAGGGGATAGAGAGCCAAGGTTTTCACTACTCACAATGGCAACTAATTTTCGCAATCTCTGAACTTAAGAATGAAGATTTTAAAATTTTGGGAACCAGCAGTTGGCGTAATGGCTATGTCGCTGGATTCCCACGTAGTCGACCGCGGTTCCCGTCTCGGATCTGGTGGCTTAAAACTCATGCCAGGTGCGTGTGAAAAACCCCCCCCCAAAAAAAAAAAAAAAAAAAAAAAGATTTTAAAATTTTATTTAATTATTTATTTTATTTTATTTATTCTTAATTTTTAATATGGCCAGAGAGAGAAAGATAGAAAGTGAGAAAGCAAGTCTCCAGGTCTGGAACTCAAACCGTGGTTGGCCATGTGGGAGTTTAACACCTTAACCACCACGCCGCCTGCCAGCCCCTTAATTTTTTTTAGACAGATTTTAGCAATAGGGCACATGTGCTCCCGAGACGAAGAGAGACAGAAAGCAAGAAATCATGCCCCCAGAGAGGATGGCCACCCCACAATCCCTTCTCCATTCTCCTCTTAGGATTTTGGGCATGCATACACATGCACCCAAAATGAATTTCGAGCCGCAGGGTCCAGGACTCAAACCACTGTCAACTACATGGGAGCCCAGCCATGCAACCATTATGCCACCTGCTGGTCCCAACCATGGGGATTTATTTAATAGGATAAAACCATCCCCCCACAACCAGCTGCCTGAACAGTCAACCTAAGCACCATGTGTACAAAGGTGATCTGGACAAAACCCTGGAGCACTTGAACAAAGTCACAATACACACTCCAACCCTAGGTGACAACTCACTTGTTCAGATGTCTTTCAATGACAAAAAAAAGTAGATCCTTTCACCTCCTACCTATGCCCATTCCAAACTGGTCAAACTCGTTATTGAACAAAGTTTAACTGGCTAATTAAATTTTTTCACTTGTTTGACTGTTCTCAACATCTACAGAAAATCCTAAAGTAATTTTGGGAAAAGGGTGTATTTACCTACATTTGGACCAAGACATGAAACAAAATTAGAAATATTTACTTGTGAGTATTTTATACCAAAGTATTTCATTAAACAAGGGAGTAATTTTACTTAAAACAAAGCCTAATTCTACTTAGAACAAAGCCTAAATGGGTAAATTAAGAATTATTCCTAGAAAATGGAAAAATAACACATAGCAAATTGTAGTACTTAAGTGGGAGAAATTGTGTAAATCTCATAAACATTTTGAAAAGACCATATATGGGAAAAATTAGAGAAAAATGACTTGACTAGAGATAGAAACATCTACTTTTAGACCCAGGGGGGACTACAAACTAGGAGGCTGGTGAATTTGAACTTTGGGGCACAAAATCCTTTTCCACTTTAGTGGAGGCGTTTTTGGTTCAATGAAAGGAGCCTGGATATTAGGAAGCTGTCTTGATCTTGGAAGAGCAGCCTCCAGCCCTGCACTGTCCAAATATAGCAGCAACTAGCCTCATGTGGCTGTTGGAACACTTGATTTCTGGAGAGTAAAACTTGGGAAGTGAATCTCAATTGTATTTATTTAAAACTTTGGTTCCTCAATCACACATTTCAAGTGCTTGATAGCCACATGAGGTAAGCGGCTACCTTGTTGGACAACAGGGCCAGTAAAGCGCTGCTGGTAGCACAGAAAATTGTATTGGACTGTGCTGCTTAGATCCTTTTGTTGAGAACGGCACCAGAGGCTACAATTTGACTACTGTTTTTTAACTATTTAACCATGCTAAATACTGTGGCATTACACAGAATAAGAAGGTCTTGTTTCTTCTGAAAAACACACTAAAGTGAAAAATACACACCTACTCATAATGAAATCAATGCTAAAATGGTGTGATGGGGTGGGAGGCAATGATTAATTCTAACAAACAAGAGAACCATGGGTTTCACTGGAATCTGATGACCACCTTCACTTATCAAGTGCACTGGTGCACTGGGTACTTGAAAAAGCACCAGTGTGTCATCACATAGCTCTGGGCTCATTCCCAGCTGTTCTGTCCCCGAACACAAGGAGTCTGAGCTCTCTGTATCTTTCTTTTCTCATCTATAAGATGGGGATAATAACGCTGGTCTACTTACAAGATTAGGGGCAAAGGAGCTCGGTAAACAAATACATTATGTTACTATTTTTCAGTTAACTCAAATAGGATTAAGTGAAGAATCAAGAAGGCCTCACCAAAAAAGTTACATCTGAGACCCTATCTGATAGCCTGTAGAAAGATGTTATTTTAGTTCAGCGGCTCTTACAAATCGCACAGGTGTTACGGATGGCCTCACACCCAGTGGAGTACATGAAAGAGGCTCTGGCAGCCCATCGCTCTTTCCTTGGCTGCCCAGGAGGCAGAGGATCCCCATCTCCATACAGCAAATGACATCTGGGGGGCTCTGCTGAGAGGGATAGAACTGGGTCTCCTGAAAGAATCCTGGACTTTGGTGTCTGCCAACCTAATGTAGCCTGAATCTCATCAGGTCAAAGACCTTGAAAATACCATCTTGTTACTTCAGTTTCCTCATCTGTAAAATAGAGGGGCATTCCTCACTTCACAGACAGTAGAGAACAAATGTGAAGTCACTTCCTATCCTACAAGGGGTCTACATATATTAGGTGTCCGAACAACTCTGAGCTTCATTTCTTCTGCTTTCTGTTATGGAACTTACTAGGGTACCAGACAGGAATGTGGATGCCTATCTTTCCCCACCGGTCGGTAAGCAACCTGAAGGCAAAGCGTGCGGCTCACACTGAGTAATCAACAGACCCATCTTACCAAATGCCTACATTGTGCCTGGTGCCGGGCTAGATGTCCATCTGGATTCTCTTGTTTACTCCACCACAAAGTTACTTGGGTTTTAACTTTTCCTCATCTGCAAAGTTCCTGCTTCATAAGGCTCTGAGAATTTTTTTAAGACAATGGGGTCCACCTGGTGGCATGGTGGCTGGATCCCACATGGCTGACCATGAAATAATGTCCCAGACCCAGTGGCTTGAAAAACACACGGGGCACATATGTGCACGTCCAAAATCCCATGGTGGGAGAGGAGGGAGTATTGCTTTCTCAATGCCTTTCCGCCCTTGGAGAGGGCTCACACCCTCTAGCGAATTTAAAAGACACGTGTTAAAATAAGAAAATAAAATAAAACAACAATGCAGGTGAAGATGTTGGCACACGATAAGGAAACTAAGAGTCTGACAAGGTAAGGTGCTGGGGTCAGTAGGTGGCAAAGCCAGGTTTACATTCCAGGACACTGGCACAGTTGACATGCTGTGAAGTGTCCAACCCAGCGCCCGGCACATCAAAAGCTGAGTTCAGGGAAGGTCTGTCAGACTCTGGACAGGGCTTGAAATCAAGGACAGATGCATGAGGAGCCAAGACTGGAAGGCCTAAGTGGTGTGATCCCTGACCGTCTCTAAAATGGGAGGAGAGAGGCTATCTCCTTCACAGGTTCGTTCTGAGTACGGAGCATGAGGATATGCACACAGGTCTTGGCACAGAGACTGGCACGGAACAAAGGGCTTCTAAGGGGCAGCTCCTCCTCCCCTCTTGACAAATGAGACATAGTAGATGAAGAAACCCAGGAGCACTCAGCTGGAGCTGCTGAGCCAGAACTCGATCTAGACGGTCTGAACCCAGAGCCCACTGCCTCTTACTCCAAATGCCCAGCACAGGGCCTGGCACATAACAAGCTACGGCCAGTATCGTCCACCGTGTGCAGCCGAAATAATAATAGCCACGGCGTCAAGAGGAGCCGGAAAGCAAATGGTTTGTTTGATGATCTGGGCACCTGAACCCTGGTCCGTGGGAGTTCAGACAAATACTTTAAACATTCCTGGGCCTCAGTTTCCTTTTCTGAGAAACGGGGACAACATTGCCTCCAACCTGAGAAGCGCAGTAACAGCGGGCCTGGACAGCAAGGCTCAAAGCAGCAGCTAGAAGGGTCTGGGGAGTGGGCGGGAGAAGCCAAGACGGGGGAGGGCCTAGGAGGTGCGAAGGTGTTTACCTTTGCGGAGCTCGCGGTGCCACACGGAGACGATGGGTCCCGCGTGCTTACGGTGGTGGATGAGCCACAGGGACAGGGTCTGCACGCTCTGCTGAGAGTTGCTCAGCTCCGAGAGCTTCTTCTCCAGCGCCGACTCGGAGAAGGAGGACATGGTGGCGGCGGTGGGGCCCTGCAGGGAGCGGCCTGGGCCGCCCAGTTCGGCGGGAAGAGCAACGGCACGAGGCCGGGGCCTCACCTGGCAGACTGCGGGGCCCTTTACCGACTGTCAGCCAGCTAGGGATGCACGGAGGGGGAGGGGATGGGTCTCCGCAGTAACAGCCGCCCGCGCCGCCGCCACAAGATGGCCACCCGACCTCTCACCTCGCCTCGAGAGCGGGGTCAAAGGGCAAGGGCTGGGGCCCCCCGCCCCGCCGCCACAAGATGGCCACCCGACCTCTCACCTCGCCTCGAGAGCGGGGTCAAAGGGCAAGGGCTGGGGTAGCTGGGCTCCGAGAAGCGTCGGAGCTGTACAAAAACGTTCCCCTGGAGGCGGCGGCCTCTCTAAACCCCGCTTAGGGCACTTCAAAGGTGATAG